CGTGCACCCACGCACCTGGAATCCATTTCGGGTTTGAGAACCTAGCACCTAGCGTGCTCAAAGCTTGCATGCACCACCTTCGTGTTGGTTGCATGGAAACTCGATGCCGCCTGCACAGCTGTGTCGTTGGCACGCAAAGAAGGACCAGAAAAAAACCCTGACCCTTTTGCAACGCAAAGCCTGAACGGAGACACGGCGAGCCGAGAACCCCGGGACTAAGAGGTGGGCAATCTGCGTCACTGTGTCACGTTCACCCCTTCGCCTAGTTGAGGTCACAGGTACAGGGCGACTCGAAAAAGAAATCACCGGAGTGCGAGTTTTGCAGGGCTTGTTCCTGCCGAAGCTGGGAGGGTTTCGGATTCGACGCTTTCTAGTGCTACAAGTAGTTAATTTTCTTCTTCTTATTATGGTTTCCATTGTTATTATCATTGGTGTTGTTATTATTGATTCAGGCGGTTGTTGGTTTGTAATTGAGATCTGGCGTCCTGATCCAGAGACAGGGTTGCTCCATGTTTGAAGGACGAGGAAGGGTGAGGCCGAGGAAAAGGTTCGGGCCTTCCATAACATATTATCCTAAGGATACTTTCGACTGTAGTACGCTATATTATGCCATCGTGTACCAGCTACTGTCATATGGTGAGTTTCTATTGTCAATGGTCTCTGTGCTGCAACACGTAAGCACAATTTCTCGAGCTGGAAATGCATGAGCAGTATTGACACCATGGCTGTACCACCCGATCTGCTACAGTAGACCCCTCTTGAAGGATCACTCGTCTCTGTCGCTTTTCTGACCGCGACCGTTTAGCCGGCTGTGCCTCAGCGGATGTATGAGGAACATGTAACATGCGCGGAATCACCGTTGCGAGCTCCCAGATGCTTGCTTGTTGGGATTGTGAGACACTCTGCGACCCTCGGCCCTCGACAATCCTCATCAGCTCCGCACGGACCAGGTTTGGAAGGCCTAAGCCATCATGAGACGCAGTTGGCCTAACAGTCTAAATCCGAAGCCGCTACAAGTACTTTCCTGAAAAACCATTTACGGTTTCACGGCTTGGTTGGAAGCATCAAGAACCTGAAAAACATGAAAAGGACTGGAACTCTAGCATCAGTGTCTTGTGGGCAGATTTCCCACAGGCGCGCCTTAGCTCCACCAGCTGCCAATACTTGGCAGCTGTGCTGTGCAAGGAGGCAGCTTGCATGTTTGCCAAATCTTCCTTGAGCTACAGGCAAGCAGCTTCGGCTTTCTTGCGGAAGGCTCGCTCCCAAGGCAGCGGAGTTTGTTCGCAAGATCATGTGAATGGGAAGCATCTATAGGGTAAGCTGACGGGATGGTGTCTGCCACGAGCTTCAGCACGCAGTTGAGGCAGCTGGCCTTTGCAGGCGGATTCGTTCATGTTTACAGTGTAATTTTACAGGCTCATGTTTTCACGCGTCACAGATAGCGCCGACAATGCCCAAGGTCGGCTTCTGTGGTATCCCTCCACGAAATAGGATGGTGGCTGGTCTCCGTTCATCAGTGAGCCGCAAAAGAAGACAGTCGCGGCGATTTTTCAAGAGGGCCCTTCGAGAGACAAGAGCTACCTAGTATTGCATCCTGGCAGAAGATTCGCGGTCGTCATACTGAAGCGTACGTAGCCCCGAAAACCCCTAGACTTTAAATCCTAAACCTTGTGCAGTTGTGTTCTGGTCAGGTGTGGGTCTTGGAGCTGGCCGCTGGGCGAACGACTTGATGCTGAACAAGGTAGGCGCTGCCGCGATGGAGACGACCGCGTCCGTACTGCGGCACATCGCATGTTGTGAGTGTTGCGGGACGGTGCCCCAAACGTGGTGATCCACGAAATCCTGGAAGTAGCGATTGGCTTGATGGGCTCACTTCTGAGCCCAGGCCCGAGTTTAGCACGGACTGAGCTAGCATGTCGCAGGGAAGAAGTGCTGAAATACTTGCCAAAGATCGGCACTTCCTCACCTCGGCCCAGTGCCTGGCCCAGTGCTGGAAATGGTCATTTACAGGGGCTGCTTTTGACGAGATTCGGCTCAGGCAGGCAAACAGATCAGGATGACTCAGGATGTTGATGATCAAAGCCAAAATCAGCACAGTTTGGAATTTGCCATAGCATTCCAACTTGGTGGTTAGCGCGGATGGCTCAGTGATGTTCCAATAGGCGTTTCGAATCTGGGTGTTCTTCTGGTTTGCTACTACGACGTTAACTTGTTGGGTTTCTATATGAACTGAAATTACGAGGCCAAAAGTTTAACTTTTAGGAGGGGTTCAGAAGTTAGCCAAGGAATTTCAAGGCTATGTGGCAAAGGGGACCCAAGGTGGGACCCCGAACTGTGTCATTGCTCATGCGAACGTGCGAGTTGAGCAACGGCTCCAGTGTGACGGTTAGTTTTTGCCTGGCGACAATGCTGCGATGGCCAGCCTCTCAGCTTTCCCTGCGAGATGTGCTACGCCAAAGCCGTGTGACGTTGACTCGTCGGGCATCCTTCTGCTTGGTGCATTCTGTGTAATGCGCACGCAAATCCTTACCATTTGATATTAACTCGATGCCTACGGCTTGGATTCTTGAGTTCATTCAGCCAGCTGTGTGCACTACGCAAAGTCAGCACGAGGACAGCCCATGCTGCACAGCGATCTGCTCGAGGCTGATCGGAGGCTCCGTTGTGATGTGTAAGTGCTTGCTGTCGAGCAGGTGATGACGTCTTCTGGTCCCATGTAGGAGGCCGCATTTGGCAGAATCAAGGCGGCGACTTGCCATCCTGGGCAGCACTGTCCTGAGGGCCTGAGGTTGCATGGTTTTCACCAGGCAATGTTTTCTAGCTGCTGGAAGCTTTTGTGGGCACAGTTGAGTGTTGTCGCGATCTTTCAGGTGCGACCTCGTGCGGACCACGATCAAAGCGGCAGTGACACAGGTGCGTGCTATCGCTTGCAAGGCGGAGTGATGCATGCAAGGAAGTCCACCTCGACTGTGCCGTGATGGAGGATGGAACTCAAAAGCTGAATGCCTATGCCCTCCCGGTCGCTCTGCTGCATGCAACTCCCAGCGAACGGTTGATCGGCATGCTGCAAGCTGATGCTTCGAAGGCCTTGCTTTGACATCGTGCAGCGCGACTTGCCTTGATGCGGTGTATCTAATGCCAACTTGTTGCCGCGCACGGCTGGCAACTCGCGTGTCGGGCAGTGGCAACTCCGGTCGCATTGAGTGCCGAAGCCTTGACCGACTTCGTGGCTTGAGCCCAAGTTTGTTGCCAGGCAGATGTTGTCAGGGAGTTCCTTGATTGCTACGGAAAGCGCTCTGTTGATCCGCTGCATTGGGAGTGAGCCTTCGGAAAGAAAAAACTTGGCAAACATGCAAGCTGCCTTCCGCCTGCCTTGCGCAGCACACCTGCTAAATGCTGGCAGCTGGAGCTGGGGCGCGCCTATAGGAAACCTGCCCACAAGACACTGATGCCAGAGTTCCACTTTTTGGTTTCATGTTTTTCACGTTGATGTTTTTAACCAGGCCGTGAACTATAAACGACTTCCTAGCAAAGTACTTGTAGTGCCTCCGGGACTTTGCCATGCTGTGGATTTTCTCGGTGCGGGGTCTGTGGCTCGGAGTTTTAATCGGAAAACCAAAAGTCATATTTTTCGGAGTTTGACGCCAAGGCCGGGCTCTTGTGTGCCAGCCTTCCCGTGCGTTCATCAAGGCAATCTTGCGAAGGCTGCCCACTTAAGTTGCACTTGTTCACAAAGGCCTACCGGCACAAATTACCTTGCAGGCCATTGTCCTAACAATCGACCACGCGCCCCACCGTTCTAGCCAAGCTGGGCTCATGTAGTACGCAGCGCTGCATGTTTTGTCGCTTGCCTGGAGTACCTGAGCACAGGTGTGCCCCTAATCCCTAAACCTTAAGCTGCCGCAAAGCTTTCTCGTGCACGGCAGGCTACGCTTCCCGGGCTGTCGTCACCACGCCGCGCCACCGGCATTTACATCCTTCCAGTGTCGTGTCCTGCCGTACGTGCTGTGTCGTGTTGTGCAGTGTAATGTAGGGTGGTGTAGTGTACTGCACTCGCAGTGTTGTGTAGCGCAAGGCAGGGGGCTGCAAGGTAGTGTAGCGTAATGGTTTGTCTGTGTATGTATGGGCTCTAACCTGTGTAGTCTTGCTGTCGTTGGATCTTTCGGGAACCAGTTTTGTTTCCGTTTACCCAGGGTCTGTGTGTGCATCTGTGCATTGCAAGTATGCACGCTTGCATGTAGGTGGGTATCTCTGTGTATATATATATATAAATATGTCTATGTAGGTATCGGTTGATTGTTTTGAACCTTCGTGATGTACCCACGATATTGCTCAGTGCTTCGAACGAAGGGTGCGGCCCCGCGAAGTCTGCGGGGCCTCAATACCATTACTTTACCGGAACAACACGACCAAGTTGTTAAAGCAAGCAGCGGACAGCCTGGAGCAATCTTCGTACAGCCCGCCGCCTGACAATCGCTGCACGACGCGCCCGAAAGCTTCTTCTCCCTGAAGCGGTTTTGGTTCCATGATCATGATTAAGATCACCACGGTACCAGACTCGAGGCCTTCCTAACGATGGGATTCGACATCACGTTGGACGAAGCCTTGATGTTATTTCTTCAAAGGGTCCGCGATCTGAGATTGAGTAAGAGCAGGCAGTGTCCCAGGAGTCCAACCGGGGAGGATGGAGTCTTCCAATTAGTGTTTAGAGTTTAGAACTTCTGAGGAGCCACATCGCGAAGTGTTCAGTCCTGTGGAATGGGTTGCGAGAGTGGGCACGACATCAGGTCAGGCCGCGACTTCTGAGCCAGAGCCAGTTGTGTGGGCGGACGTTGCCTGCGTCAAGGCGATCTGCCGGGTGCCTGGTAGGGGCATGTCTGGAGTGTCCTATCACACACGCGCAGTGGAAACTGAAGTTTCAGGTGATTCATAGCTGACACCGTCAGTCCATTTTGGCACAGTCTTGGCCCCCAGCCTCTTCCATCAGCTTAGCCGGGGCCATGACCTCATTGACTTGGCTCGGGGCTTTCTGCGGCATCTGCGCATTGTGCGTGGGGGTCTCGGCAGATTGCCTTTCCTCCATTGGGGTGGTGGACCAGTTTCTGTCAGAGGCGGAAGTAGGCGTTCTGAAGAGCACCCGTGGGGACGATCTGCAGCACGAGGGGATCCGGCAGCGTCTGAATGAGGCCTTGGGCGGAAGCGTTCTGGTGAAGGGCATCGCAAGTTCGCGCAAGACCGCGGACGTGCCGAAGCACCAGGACCAATGGAGCAGCAAGCGTGTTGTGGAGGGAAAGGCGGGTGTGGTCTACCTGGAGTCCGCCGCAGACGGCGGCAACCTGGGCAGCATCCTCTTCGAGGATCTCAGCTCCAAAGCTGTGAAGGAGGTGGAGGTCGTGCCTGGGCGGCTGATCACCTGGGACAACCATCTCTGCCTCCACGGCTTCCGTGCACGCCACGACGGCCCAAGGCATACTCTGGACCAGCAGCCCTTTGAGGAGCCCGCTCAGCTCACGGATGTCGCCGACGCCCGGGATGGTTGCAAGCCCTGGTGTTTCAAGAAGGGCGCATTCCTGATCCCCGGATGCCGCGGGTGCTTCAAGAAATATTATGGGAAATATTATGGGCCCTCTCCCCCTCCCACTACGACAACCGGCTTGAAGGCGGCGGTGAAGGTGGCTGTGCCGCCTACTACGACAACCGTTGGCTTGAAGGCGGCAATATCCTCGGATGTGGATTTGAGGTTGGCTGCTATTCCTGATAAGACGGCGGCACCCGCTCAGCTCGCGGACGTCGATGCCGTCGATGCCCGGGACGGTTGCAAGCCCTGGTGTTTCAAGAAGGGCGCCTTCCTGATCCCCGGATGCCGCGGGTGCTTCAAGAAATATTATGGGAAGCATTATGGGCCCTCCCCTCCTCCCACTACGACAACCGGCTTGAAGGCGGCGGTGAAGGTGGCTGTGCCGCTTACTACGACAACCGTTGGCTTGAAGGCGGCAATATCCTCGGATGTGGAAGTGAATTTGGCTGCTATTCCTGATGAGACGGCGGCACCGGTTCCGGTGCAGGGCGGAGCACATGAGCGACGCCGCGCTGAGCATGGCCAGCTAGCACCTCACGAAGTCGACGCTGTGCATTTCATGCAGATGCCCGACGAGCTGTAGAGGCCTCTTGTAGGCTAAGAGCAGCTCAGCTTGATTCAGTTTTGAAGTTGTCTTATGCGCTCCGGGTCGAAGCATTCGGAGCGCGAGGCCAGCCCAACACAAGCGGCCGGCCTGGAGCTGTGCTGAAGCGCGAACAAATGAGCATGCAACAGACGCAGGGTGAAGCTAAGCATATCTGACTCTTTCCTTCGTGCTCTCGGTCGCGCACTCTCAGTCGCGATTTCTTGCAACAACGCGGAGCGGCTGGTTTTCGACCAGGTCTTCAAAAATCCGGATTTGCAAGGTAGGAGTTTCGTTTTTGACCCTTTTTGCCCCGAAAGGCCGAAGCATTAAACCACCCAACCCTCAAGCATGGAGTTTACGGCCCGAAGCTCCAAACCCAAAGCCCCGAATTCTAAACCCCCACTCAGGACCGCTTACGAAGTGTGACAACGCCCTTGCTCGATCGGAACGACATGTATAAAGAACCAAGAAAAACTCCCTTTTAACAAAAAATTAGAAGACTGTTTGAGCCTGTGGAAGGACACTTGCGTGACATGAACATGCGTGAAAACATCCGTGCGGCATGTGGGAAGTGATTCCCTAAACCCTAAAGCCTGCACCCGATACAGCTTGCAGAGTGGGCACCACTTCAGGCCGCGACTTCTGAGCCAGAGCCAGCTGCGTGGGCGGACGTTGCCTGTGTCAAGGCGATCTGCCGTGTGCCTGGTAGGGGCCATGTCTGGAGTGTCCTATCACACACGTGCAGTGGAAACTGAAATTTAAGGTGATTCATAGCTGACACCGCGCTAGTCCATTTTGGCTCAAGTCTTGGCCCCCAGCCTCTTCCATCAGCCTAGCCGGGGCCATGACCTCATTGACTTGGCTCTGCGGCATCTGCGCATTGTGCGTGGGGGTCTCGGCAGATTGCCTGTCCTCCATCCGGGTGGTGGACCAGTTTCTGTCAGAGGCGGAAGTAGGCGTTCTGAAGAGCACCCGTGGCGACGATCTTCAGCACGAGGGGATCCGGCAGCGTCTGAATGAGGCCTTGGGCGGAAGCGTTCTGGTGAAGGGCATCGCAAGTTCGCGCAAGACCGCGGACGTGCCGAAGCACCAGGACCAATGGAGCAGCAAGCGGGTTGTGGAGGGAAAGGCGGGTGTGGTCTACCTGGAGCCCGCCGCAGACGGCGGCAACCTGGGCAGCATCCTCTTCGAGGATCTCAGCTCCAAAGCTGTGAAGGAGGTGGAGGTCGTGCCTGGGCGGCTGATCACCTGGGACAACCATCTCTGCCTCCACGGCTTCCGTGCACGCCACGACGGCCCAAGGCATACTCTGGACCAGCAGCCCTTTGAGGAGCCCGCTCAGCTCACGGATGTCGCCGACGCCCGGGATGGTTGCAAGCCCTGGTGTTTCAAGAAGGGCGCCTTCCTGATCCCCGGATGCCGCGGGTGCTTCAAGAAATATTATGGGAAATATTATGGGCCCTCTCCCCCTCCCACTACGACAACCGGCTTGAAGGCGGCGGTGAAGGTGGCTGTGCCGCCGACTACGACAACCGTTGGCTTGAAGGCGGCAATATCCTCGGATGTGGATTTGAGGTTGGCTGCTATTCCTGATAAGACGGCGGCACCCGCTCAGCTCGCGGACGTCGATGCCGTCGATGCCCGGGACGGTTGCAAGCCCTGGTGTTTCAAGAAGGGCGCCTTCCTGATCCCCGGATGCCGCGGGTGCTTCAAGAAATATTATGGGAAGCATTATGGGCCCTCCCCTCCTCCCACTACGACAACCGGCTTGAAGGCGGCGGTGAAGGTGGCTGTGCCGCTTACTACGACAACCGTTGGCTTGAAGGCGGCAATATCCTCGGATGTGGAAGTGAATTTGGCTGCTATTCCTGATGAGACGGCGGCACCGGTTCCGGTGCAGGGCGGAGCACATGAGCGACGCCGCGCTGAGCATGGCCAGCTAGCACCTCACGAAGTCGACGCTGTGCATTTCATGCAGATGCCCGACGAGCTGTAGAGGCCTCTTGTAGGCAAAGAGCAGCTCAGCTTGATTCAGTTTTGAAGTTGTCTTATGCGCTCCGGGTCGAAGCATTCGGAGCGCGAGGCCAGCCCAACACAAGCGGCCGGCCTGGAGCTGTGCTGAAGCGCGAACAAATGAGCATGCAACAGACGCAGGGTGAAGCTAAGCATATCTGACTCTTTCCTTCGTGCTCTCGGTCGCGCACTCTCAGTCGCGATTTCTTGCAACAACGCGGAGCGGCTGGTTTTCGACCAGGTCTTCAAAAATCCGGATTTGCAAGGTAGGAGTTTCGTTTTTGACCCTTTTTGCCCCGAAAGGCCGAAGCATTAAACCACCCAACCCTCAAGCATGGAGTTTACGGCCCGAAGCTCCAAACCCAAAGCCCCGAATTCTAAACCCCCACTCAGGACCGCTTACGAAGTGTGACAACGCCCTTGCTCGATCGGAACGACATGTATAAAGAACCAAGAAAAACTCCCTTTTAACAAAAAATTAGAAGACTGTTTGAGCCTGTGGAAGGACACTTGCGTGACATGAACATGCGTGAAAACATCCGTGCGGCATGTGGGAAGTGATTCCCTAAACCCTAAAGCCTGCACCCGATACAGCTTGCAGAGTGGGCACCACTTCAGGCCGCGACTTCTGAGCCAGAGCCAGCTGTGTGGGCGGACGTTGCCTGTGTCAAGGCGATCTGCCGTGTGCCTGGTAGGGGCCATGTCTGGAGTGTCCTATCGCACACGTGCAGTGGAAACTGAAATTTAAGGTGATTCATAGCTGACACCGCGCTAGTCCATTTTGGCTCAAGTCTTGGCCCCCAGCCTCTTCCATCAGCCTAGCCGGGGCCATGACCTCATTGACTTGGCTCTGCGGCATCTGCGCATTGTGCGTGGGGGTCTCGGCAGATTGCCTGTCCTCCATCCGGGTGGTGGACCAGTTTCTGTCAGAGGCGGAAGTAGGCGTTCTGAAGAGCACCCGTGGCGACGATCTTCAGCACGAGGGGATCCGGCAGCGTCTGAATGAGGCCTTGGGCGGAAGCGTTCTGGTGAAGGGCATCGCAAGTTCGCGCAAGACCGCGGACGTGCCGAAGCACCAGGACCAATGGAGCAGCAAGCGGGTTGTGGAGGGAAAGGCGGGTGTGGTCTACCTGGAGCCCGCCGCAGACGGCGGCAACCTGGGCAGCATCCTCTTCGAGGATCTCAGCTCCAAAGCTGTGAAGGAGGTGGAGGTCGTGCCTGGGCGGCTGATCACCTGGGACAACCATCTCTGCCTCCACGGCTTCCGTGCACGCCACGACGGCCCAAGGCATACTCTGGACCAGCAGCCCTTTGAGGAGCCCGCTCAGCTCACGGATGTCGCCGACGCCCGGGATGGTTGCAAGCCCTGGTGTTTCAAGAAGGGCGCCTTCCTGATCCCCGGATGCCGCGGGTGCTTCAAGAAATATTATGGGAAATATTATGGGCCCTCTCCCCCTCCCACTACGACAACCGGCTTGAAGGCGGCGGTGAAGGTGGCTGTGCCGCCGACTACGACAACCGTTGGCTTGAAGGCGGCAATATCCTCGGATGTGGATTTGAGGTTGGCTGCTATTCCTGATAAGACGGCGGCACCCGCTCAGCTCGCGGACGTCGATGCCGTCGATGCCCGGGACGGTTGCAAGCCCTGGTGTTTCAAGAAGGGCGCCTTCCTGATCCCCGGATGCCGCGGGTGCTTCAAGAAATATTATGGGAAGCATTATGGGCCCTCCCCTCCTCCCACTACGACAACCGGCTTGAAGGCGGCGGTGAAGGTGGCTGTGCCGCTTACTACGACAACCGTTGGCTTGAAGGCGGCAATATCCTCGGATGTGGAAGTGAATTTGGCTGCTATTCCTGATGAGACGGCGGCACCGGTTCCGGTGCAGGGCGGAGCACATGAGCGACGCCGCGCTGAGCATGGCCAGCTAGCACCTCACGAAGTCGACGCTGTGCATTTCATGCAGATGCCCGACGAGCTGTAGAGGCCTCTTGTAGGCAAAGAGCAGCTCAGCTTGATTCAGTTTTGAAGTTGTCTTATGCGCTCCGGGTCGAAGCATTCGGAGCGCGAGGCCAGCCCAACACAAGCGGCCGGCCTGGAGCTGTGCTGAAGCGCGAACAAATGAGCATGCAACAGACGCAGAGTGAAGCTAAGCATATCTGACTCTTTCCTTCGTGCTCTCGGTCGCGCACTCTCAGTCGCGATTTCTTGCAACAACGCGGAGCGGCTGGTTTTCGACCAGGTCTTCAAAAATCCGGATTTGCAAGGTAGGAGTTTCGTTTTTGACCCTTTTTGCCCCGAAAGGCCGAAGCATTAAACCACCCAACCCTCAAGCATGGAGTTTACGGCCCGAAGCTCCAAACCCAAAGCCCCGAATTCTAAACCCCCACTCAGGACCGCTTACGAAGTGTGACAACGCCCTTGCTCGATCGGAACGACATGTATAAAGAACCAAGAAAAACTCCCTTTTAACAAAAAATTAGAAGACTGTTTGAGCCTGTGGAAGGACACTTGCGTGACATGAACATGCGTGAAAACATCCGTGCGGCATGTGGGAAGTGATTCCCTAAACCCTAAAGCCTGCACCCGATACAGCTTGCAGAGTGGGCACCACTTCAGGCCGCGACTTCTGAGCCAGAGCCAGCTGCGTGGGCGGACGTTGCCTGTGTCAAGGCGATCTGCCGTGTGCCTGGTAGGGGCCATGTCTGGAGTGTCCTATCACACACGTGCAGTGGAAACTGAAATTTAAGGTGATTCATAGCTGACACCGCGCTAGTCCATTTTGGCTCAAGTCTTGGCCCCCAGCCTCTTCCATCAGCCTAGCCGGGGCCATGACCTCATTGACTTGGCTCTGCGGCATCTGCGCATTGTGCGTGGGGGTCTCGGCAGATTGCCTGTCCTCCATCCGGGTGGTGGACCAGTTTCTGTCAGAGGCGGAAGTAGGCGTTCTGAAGAGCACCCGTGGCGACGATCTTCAGCACGAGGGGATCCGGCAGCGTCTGAATGAGGCCTTGGGCGGAAGCGTTCTGGTGAAGGGCATCGCAAGTTCGCGCAAGACCGCGGACGTGCCGAAGCACCAGGACCAATGGAGCAGCAAGCGGGTTGTGGAGGGAAAGGCGGGTGTGGTCTACCTGGAGCCCGCCGCAGACGGCGGCAACCTGGGCAGCATCCTCTTCGAGGATCTCAGCTCCAAAGCTGTGAAGGAGGTGGAGGTCGTGCCTGGGCGGCTGATCACCTGGGACAACCATCTCTGCCTCCACGGCTTCCGTGCACGCCACGACGGCCCAAGGCATACTCTGGACCAGCAGCCCTTTGAGGAGCCCGCTCAGCTCACGGATGTCGCCGACGCCCGGGATGGTTGCAAGCCCTGGTGTTTCAAGAAGGGCGCCTTCCTGATCCCCGGATGCCGCGGGTGCTTCAAGAAATATTATGGGAAATATTATGGGCCCTCTCCCCCTCCCACTACGACAACCGGCTTGAAGGCGGCGGTGAAGGTGGCTGTGCCGCCGACTACGACAACCGTTGGCTTGAAGGCGGCAATATCCTCGGATGTGGATTTGAGGTTGGCTGCTATTCCTGATAAGACGGCGGCACCCGCTCAGCTCGCGGACGTCGATGCCGTCGATGCCCGGGACGGTTGCAAGCCCTGGTGTTTCAAGAAGGGCGCCTTCCTGATCCCCGGATGCCGCGGGTGCTTCAAGAAATATTATGGGAAGCATTATGGGCCCTCCCCTCCTCCCACTACGACAACCGGCTTGAAGGCGGCGGTGAAGGTGGCTGTGCCGCTTACTACGACAACCGTTGGCTTGAAGGCGGCAATATCCTCGGATGTGGAAGTGAATTTGGCTGCTATTCCTGATGAGACGGCGGCACCGGTTCCGGTGCAGGGCGGAGCACATGAGCGACGCCGCGCTGAGCATGGCCAGCTAGCACCTCACGAAGTCGACGCTGTGCATTTCATGCAGATGCCCGACGAGCTGTAGAGGCCTCTTGTAGGCTAAGAGCAGCTCAGCTTGATTCAGTTTTGAAGTTGTCTTATGCGCTCCGGGTCGAAGCATTCGGAGCGCGAGGGGCCAGCCCAACACAAGCGGCCGGCCTGGAGCTGTGCTGAAGCGCGAAAAAAGAAGCACCTCTCGCTCCCGCTCCTGCATTCCCAGTCACGATTTCTTCCAACCAACGCGCAAGGTTCATAAGCTCTCGGCGGAGCGGACACTGCGCGTGGCCTTTTGCCCAGAGCGCCGACTGTTTCTGCAGCACTTGTTGTTTGTCGTTGTAGTGTGCGCGACCCAGTGCCTATGCGAGAATGCGGCGCAATTTTGCGCATCCCTCCTCCCAAGCCCCCCAAACCTCAAAATCCCATCCGTAAGAATCTTCAGGAGGCCTCTAGGCCTAATATATACACTTGTTATGATGAATTAAGTACTAGTAGTAGTAATAATAAGCATAACAAGAAAAATAGTAGCAACAGAAGTAAATAAGCGTAGCTGTAACAAGACTACAGACGAGGACAATCATCCCAATATCTACAATCGTAGTAACCGTAAAAGCCAGAAAGTTGGAATATGATCATCCTAACCTTTCTATGGTAAATAATAGGGGATCCTACCAAGAAACCATATTCCAACTTTTTTTGGAGTTCCCTTTAAAGTAATAACCCTAAACCCTAAACCCTAAACCCCTAAACCCTAACCCCTAAACCCTAAACCCTAAACGTAGTAACCGTAAAATCAATAACAACTCGGCTCCCGGAAGACGAGGTCGGTCCATGCTGCAGTCAGCCCGGATCTCGCTTCCGGTTTCGGCCCTGGTTGGGGTTTAGGGCTTTAGGGTTTAGGGTTTTAGGGATTTAGGGATTTAGAGTTTTTGGGGTTAAGGTTTTAGGGTTTCAGGGCGTAGATTTTCATGGTTTTAGGGTGTAGGGTTGAGGCTGGCAGCAACCGCAATCCGTTGTGCCAATGATGACATGCAGTAGGTAACCTCATAAGGAAAGCGGCGTTCGGGTGGTGGCTGGATTCAAGAGTAGAGTCTCTGGGGTTTGGGCCTTGTTCAGAGTGTGGGCCTTGTTCAGACGTCCGCCAAGCCCATCCGGAACTCTTATCACGTCGCATTGAAAAAGAGGTTTCCTTTGTCCTGCGCACCTGTTCATGTCGAAAGGGGATACCACTACACCCTAAGCCCTAACCCCTAATGAAACCCTAAGCCCCAAACCTAAACCCTAAACCCTACATCTAAACCCTGAATCCTGAACCCTAAACCTAAATCCTAAGCCCTAAAAGCCCTAAATCCAGAAGCCACAACCCTAAACCACCCCCAGCTTCGGCCGCTGTCCTTTGCTAGCGATCTGCTCAGATCGTTGCGCTCATGTGGGTGGTTGTCAAAATGAGGGTCCCTTATCATAATACGGCACCGAATATTTCGGGTACCCCAAACAAGGGACCCTATTTTTGACAACCACCCATGTGGTCCCGGCCGATCCCGAGCCTCCCTCGGCTGTAAAATCCAGGAGTTGCACCTTTATTCGCGTTCCTCGAAGAAGGGATCCTTAAAGGGTTCGTTAAAGGGATCTAAAAGGGTGCTATAAAGGGTTTAGGGTTGAGAGTTTCCGAAAGTTTGTGGTATCTTAAATGTTCCCAAAAGGGTTACTATAAGGATACTGTATTTATGGATTTATTTGGAGGGTTCGGAATTTCCGAAAATTCGGGGTACCTTACTTTGGGGTGCATATATTCAGGATCCTACTATTTAGTGTACTATGCTAGGGTCCCCAATTTTCGGAAACTCCCATATGATCATAGTTGTAGAATACAAGCTATATCCATCTACTGGTACCTTATAGCCCAGGAATAGATGATAGAATCTCTACAGCAGGAGAGGAATCGGGTGGGGAGGCTGCGACCCCAGTCAAGTTGCTTTCCGAGGTTTAGGGTTTTAGGGCTTTGGGTGGGACAAGACCCAACAAGAGGGCTCCGTTGGCGAGTAGGGAAAAGCTGTCACATCTGAATCCCAAAGCTTCGGACCTTTCATATAGCTATAACTAATTATAACCCCAACTAAGATAACCTTACTTACAAAGTCCCATGATCCTGCAAGTATCGCTCCCATTTGAGTCGAGGTCTTTGCCCCGTGCGCTCGGAAGCGAAGCTGCAAGGCCCGGGCCTTGGTGGAAGTTGGGCTTTGGAGCTGCGCTTCTATAGAGGGGGTGTCCAAGCATGAGGCCATGACTGTCTGGTTCTTAGTAGGGAATAGGGGAATGGATTATGGAGACTATTATAGGGGATTAAGTATATAGGGACTACTGCAGGGATCCATTCATCCATTCCCTACTAAGCACCAGACAGAAAGCATGAAGCACAGGTCCGCCGCATTCCCTTCCGTGCATGATGCATGGCCCCGTTTCCCAAGTCCTCTTAACAACCAAGCCCTCTGAATCCGAATTACACCGCCCTAAGTGACACTCTCTTGAAGTTGCTTCAAGCCGAGATGAGCATGTCGTAGTTTCCCCAATGCTGCATTCCAACCCCCATCCGAGCCTGCGCTTGTTTGTGGTGTCAGCACAGGTGCAGCCGATGCTTTGCCGGTAACTTCTCCTGAACGTCTCACTCACGGCTCAGAGTAGCGAATGCTTGGAGCAGCGTGTGACTGCATTGCTTCCCACCATCAGATGAGCATGCCTGGAACTGTTCTACATTCGCAGGCTATCTTTGAGGGCTAATGTGGAGGTTGGCAACCAAATGTGCCCGGAGTTTTGGCTGATGAACAAGAAATCCGCAGACAAACAAAAACATGCGGTTAACCGTGGACAGCAGTGTCCGCTGTTGCTGTTGCGGCCTTTTAACGTATTGCGCGGAAGATAGAGGATAGAGGGTCTGAGCCCTAAACCCTAAACCCCAAACCTGGGCCATAAACCCTAAAACCCTAAACTTTAAAGCCCTAATTAAACCCGAAACCCCAACTGGGTCGCAACGAGTCGCAACTGCCCGAGACACACCTCCTTCGGCTCAGGCAGGTGCATTGCATCGCTGTGCCAACAGTATGATCTGCATGGCGCATGTTGAATTGAGTGAGCGAAGACGTTACTTGCGTATGGACGTCTTGTAACATGTTGAATTCGAGATCCCGGTATTTTCTATATGGGAATTCATCGACATGCTAAACAGGGCTCGTTTGTCGCATGTGAAAGTCATGAGAGCAGTCAGAATAGGTGTTTCCGAGCTTTACTCTCACGCTAGTGGTTCTTGTGTCACCATCACCGCGATGCGGACAATCAGCTGTTTTTTGCATATATAGTATTATATATATAGAGAGAGAGAGAGAGAGAGAGAGAGAGAGAGAGAGAGAGAGAGAGAGAGAGAATTCCCACAAGACGGTGCCGATATCGAAGCTAGGGTTAGAAGATCTGAAATTCGACAGTGTGCCGAAATGGTAATTATTGAACGATGAGGTTTTCAGGGTAACTTGAATATCAGTGCAAGGTATTGCAGAACGCAGAGCACTTCGCCATTGCAATCTCTCGGCCTTCAATTCCAAGCAAACAAGCCCATGACAGAAGCGTTTAATGTCTCAGCTTTTTGCGTCATGGTCCGAGCATGCTGCTGTCAGCCGCAGTTGAGCCATGTCGTTTCAACCTCGCACAAAGCCTTGGCGTGAAATCAAGGGCGAGCTTTCTTCCGTGGTTCGCACGGTGGCATGCAGCCACTGTTTGGCGCTTGCCGCTGCACAGCCAGCTTGGTGCCGGGGAATGCAGTTTTGCACGAAACCCAGACCCAAAGATTGGGATGTCTGGATGTAGTTTTCAAGAGGCCATAGATACAGGCTTCCGCATATCCATTTGCGCTGGTATGTTTGTGTGAGCTCCTGTTCGGAGGCGGCAGAGCAAGCAGCCGAAGCCAGCTATCATGGCATCCTGTGGCTTAGGGGTACTTAGAAGCATATTTTCAATTTTTGGTTCCTATAATCCTTAAGAAACCGCTAAAATTGTGATTTTTGCTAGGGGTCTAGCTTCAGTATAGGTGGGTAGCCAATGTGTACCCCAGACGGGTGCACTGCTTTGACTTCCGACAGATTCGCGCACGCTACAACCATGAGACATTGATCCCTCGGCTCTTACCAGAAGGCCTGCAGTTCAAGATACACCCTAGAAGACAAGAGGGTGGTGCTTTTGTCCACTTCCGCATGCCTCCGACATTCATCCTGCAGGTTATGTTGGCCGCCAGGGCTGGATCAGGCATGCCAAAGACCATAGATGATATTCTTTTCAAGGTGTCGCAGGACATGTGTGGAAATTTTGTCAAGACGCACAATGTTTGGTCTTTTCTTTGTCCCTATCCGGTGCGCATACACCGCGTGCTTGGGACGCCCCCGACTGAAGACGTGACCGGCCAGTATCCTTCTTCGCAGATCCACGTCAAGTTCAATGCTCTAGCCACGATACGGCCCACAGAAAGACAGGTCTACGAAGTGCTCCGGACATATGGACAGCTGGAAAGTGTTGTTGCTTCCCCATCTGGTTTCATTGCAAACTTTCGCTACATACCTGCAGCAATTGCTGTGCGAAACTGCCTGCATGGGGCCCCGCTGCAGCTCAAGGGCCAAAAGGATCTTGCCGTCATTCATCAGGAATGGTTTCGGATGAGTATAAAGTTTAAGGTTTATCGACCAATTGTAATTGGGTTGAAAAAGAAAGGAACTGTCCGGCTCATCCGATCTGAACCTTGCACTTCCAGAGAGCCCAATACCCCTTGATTAAGGAATACAGCTTAACTCATAATATGAGGCCCCTTGTAATTTCAGGCATATTGCTTAATTAAGGGGTATTGGGCTCTCTCGGCTCATCCTTAACGGATTGACGGCTCCTTGCTATCGCCGGAGCCCTGAACCCGTTAAGGCCGTTTCGTGTGAATCTTGGACCCCTCGAAGCCCTTACAGCCGGTAGCTTGTCTTGCTTTCGCAAAGGAGTCGGCATCCTGGGCATTTGAGTACAAGCAGATATCGCGCTGGGATAGAGCCAGCGCAAACCTGCTCTTTTGGTTTCCTCTCTATGCGTCGCTCATACTCAGCGTTTTGTTCTTCTGGGATCGACTGCGTGCAGCGAGCTCTTGCAATTACAGCCTCACAGACCCGAACGCGTTCGTCAGATTCTTAGTGGAAGGCGATGTTCGACTGGTGCGTTTAGCCTATTTGCTTGAACTGCAGCGAGCTCAGCTTTCTTGGCCGCGTCGCCAAGAGGCTGAGAGCGCAATCTTGGACACTGGCGAGCCCGCCTTGGTCACACTGCAGGAGCTACGTGAGATCCAGAGCCAGGATCCATTAAGCCAGCGAGGGTTCTTCAGCAGGTCAGGCAAGCTGATCCGGTTTGGATCTGTCTCACATTGCTGGGAAAGCCGGGAGCACCCCGACCCATGGGGCTTCCAGCTGAACGAGGCAATAAGACGTTTCCAACAGATGGAGGGTGAACGATCAGAAGTCTGGTTGTTTGTGGACTTCCTCTGCCTTCACCAGTACCCACGTAACAAAGAACAGACATACAGCTTCCAGAGAGCACTGCAAGCAATGCATGTCCTGTATGCGCATGAGCTCGTAAATGTGGAGACTCTGCGCGACCTGACGCCGGAGTTTGTGCGATCGAAATTGCAAGGCGGCCGAAAGATAGCTGTTTACAGCACAGCGCATGCGCGTGTGGAGCAGGTGCCCGTGGAAAGCTTGATGATAAACAGTGTGCCATACGATCAGCGGGGCTGGTGCCAAGCCGAGGAGGAATGGGCAAGCCTGCGTGAAACATTTGAGCGTGTACCCACACCGCCAATGTTGTTTTCGCGTCGCATGGACACCTGCAGGTTTACTCACCGCGACGATTCGGCGTTGGTAAAGGAGTTACAGGAGAAAATCTTCAAGCAGAAGGCGAAAGAGACAACGAAGCTAAATCTCCAGCTGTTGGACGATCAGGTGCCAGTCCTGTGTGCTGCCTTGCCATACTACACCAATCTGGAAATAGTACTCGTGCGCGACACCAAGTTGGGCTGCGAAGGTGCGCGGGTCGTGGTGGAGTCTGGAGCTTCTCATATTCACCTGGACAACTGTGAACTGGGTGATGCAGAGGCAAACGCCATCGCAAAAGCCTTGGAAAAGACGGCTGGCGTACATCAACTGAGCTTGAGGCACACGCGGATAACCCCCGTTGGGGCAGATGCTCTCCGGCGTGCAGGGAGGATATTTGGTGCAGTTTGTATCAACCTGGATGGTCAGAAGATCTGAAAAGGTAGCCAGCTAGGGTGGGGGTCGCAACCTGGTCTTTAGATCCAGGGTCATGTTTCCAGGTGTGGAGTTGCTTGTTGGGTTTTGCTAACTCAGTGGTGTACGGTGTAGAATTTAGAATTTGGGGGTTGAGGAGCGTTCTTTTGAACTTTCCAGCCATAGCGAGACCGGACTATAGCCAGTTTGTGTGACGCTGCAGCCACGGTCTCTCCATAGCTTCCTACAGTGCAATCGCAAGTGAGTGTGCAGAATGCCGGCAGACGAAGAGATAATTTCTTTCAAAGTTTGCACATCACTTCTTTGATGTTTGTTATGAGCCTGATAAGACTTTCTGCCCCTGGCCTGGCACTACAATGTTGGGCTTCAGAGGCCAGGCTTGTAAAAAGAATCAGCCACTGCAAAGAAGTCCCAGCCTTTCGCGTTTCTTTCACACCACGTCTTGAAGGGTATTTGTGGCGTTCGGAGTCCGCTGGCGGATTATGCCGGCACAGCGATCACCATTGTCTGTTCAACAGACGACCAGTAAGACTTCTTTGTATTTGCGAGATAGCAGAGCACCTCTGATCCTGGAACGCATCTGTTGGCAGCAAGCGCCTGCCAAACGCTGTGGTGTTTGAAGCATGCTTGCTTTTGCTGGAATGTTGCCCATGTCTAAGCCGGCTCTCGTGACCAAGTGACCCACCACATTGCCCCCCAAGCAAAAGTGCGGGTTCTGCCCTTCCACAGTGACGTTTTGGGTGCTGCTGTACTTTTAATTCAGCAAACCTTAATCCGCAGCATCCCACATGTCGCATACGCAGAAGTGCACACCCCGGCCGTGACTTGACAGGGGGCTCGCAGAGTTCGCAATCGAGCAGCGATGCAGATGCGATGCATTGGCAACCTCACATCAGGCGCAACTGTTAGCTGATTGGATTTTGTATTCCACGGCGCGTGTTGTGTTGTCTCTTGCCATCGGCTGCGGTGCATTATCCACATCGACAGGCAACGTTCCGAAGGCGGAGTCCATCGAAATGGTCGAGCGCGATTTTGCGAATCCCGCCGTGGCTTTCAAGTCCAAGACCTTCCGCACCTTTGCTCGACTATCAGTTGAGTTTGACCAAGAACACAGATCCCATACTACTGCCTGTTCAACACTGTGCTCATCAACAGCCTTACTGCTGAGGGGAACTTGCATTGGCTTGGTGCACGGTCCAAGCGTATTCTTGCGACCCCATCGTGCGCCACTCTGTCCACCTCTACGACTGGTCAGTCAAGATCCTCGGGTCAAGGCTTTTTCCACACGTGTCTTTTCGTGTAGCCGAAGCCTGCTTTGCGCCACGACAACTTGTCGTAGGTTGGCGCATCTTCTCCTCAAGAAAACGTTGCTCGCTCATTTCTGTGCTGGTGAGGCCGACACCATTTTTCATTCGGGACAGATTCTTGCATTTCCTCATCGCAGGACTCGCAGGACATTTTGCCTCAAGTGCGCAAACTTGCCCGACACAATGTGTGGGACTTGACTTGGCCGGTTTTGATAGTTGGCCAACCCTGCGCAGCCGGGCAGCGATGCGCCCGAGGTTGGTGGAATCTTGGAAAATTGTGCAGAGGCCGGGTATGGCGAGCCGCCGCGAAGAGTACAAGTGACGATAACAATTATAATTAGATCTGGTTCCAGTCCGGAAGGCACTGCACCTGGCCAGCACTGACCCCTCCGGGATTTGCGAGGAGATGGCCAGGGTGTTTAGGGCTGCCACCTGTGCATTTTGCGCACAACCTTGCCGACGGTCCGGTCGTGGATGAACGCAAGCTGGCGTGTGAGCAGGCGTGTCTGTGTACGTGTTCTGAGCTGTGAAAGGAGATCGTCGGGGGACCGATGAGCAGCCGCAGCTACGATTACATGATCGAGGCTTTTGTGATTGTGATTGGGAGATAGATGCTCAGTTGCGTAACGAAGAAGATGAGACGACAGCGTCCTTGCAGCTACGCGTGTCCAGCTGTTGAAAGAAGCAAGTATTCAGCCGCCCCAAGGGGGCCACACGCTTAACGTGCCATGAAGACTGGTCAGGCACGTTGCGATGCCTACACCGACATTGTCCGGTCGACTGTGCAAGCGGTGAAAGATGTCTCATTGGACGGCTTTGCATCCATCAAGCTGTCTGGCTTGGGGAGTCCTGCTTGCAGGGTGGAGCTAACCGTGCAGATTGGGTGGGTCAATGCAAACCTAGGAACCCACAGCTGCTGGAGCGTCTGTCGAGATGTCTTTCTGAGCGCTGTCGCCTGCAGCATGCCTGCAATAGCAGCTCCGCCTGCGCTTTCCCTGCCCTGCTCGGGGTTGTATGGCATTGCATTTTAGGTACAAGAGGCTGTCGGGTGGAGATGATATAGCAGCAGAGCCATTCTACGACCCCTGGCTTAGTTGGATATCAGCTGTCTTGACGCACAAGGTTCACTGCTACAGTGCTACAGACATGAAAATGTCATATGCCTCAGGTAATGGATCGGACTTCCGAAATGGATTTCGACATGTTTAAGACGGGTTGGTTCAAGATTTTCGATGATACAAGTGAGGAGCCATGCCTGCATTGGTGAGTACATGGTGTTCAGGAAGTGGAATGTGTAGAAGCACTGGTTTCCTAGAGTGGCGCCAGGGATGTGCTGTCTGGCATGATTTGGCAAAGCGGAGAAGACTGTTAAACTGCAGGTTCAGAGGCAATTTGGTCAAGATGGCTTCAGTATCAAAGTGCACCTGGCGATGGGGTGGGCAGGGCTGCGATGGGTGGGTGGTGGTGGGGGTGGGTTGGGGGCGCCCCACGCGCATGGCGGGATCGTGTCAGATGTATGCGAATGTCAGGATTAGGACTAATTAGGACCAAAGCGAAACAAAGGAAAAGGGGTGCGGGTTGCGCGTGGTAAGGGAAGCAGTGCCCGGGAAACTCTTTCGGACTTTCGGCCACGGTCCTGGCAAAGTTCTGTGCGCCCCCTTGAACCGCATAGCCATGCTCGCGTGCATAAAGTCAATCCCGTTTGACTAGCATAGAGTATACTATAGTATGTATTGTAATACACTATACTACATTGTAGTATGATATAGCATAATGTTACATAACATAACAGAGTATAGCATAGTATAGTATAAATATAGTATAGTATAGTATACCATAGTATATTGTACAAAGATGCTAAGAGCACCTTTGCCGCAGATTTCGCGCCGTCCAGGCGGAGGTGCAGTCCATGTTTCAGGCCATGGATGCGGATGCGGATGGGCCTGGGGCTCAATTCAATCCCTACCCAGAGAGCCCAAAATCCCTTCATTAAGTAATATACCTTAAATCATAATGGGATCTCTAATATGATTTAAGGGATATTGCTTAATTAAGGGATATCGGGCTCTCTGGGTATATCACCCTAGCTTAACAACAAGCTAGGTAGGGAGCATAATCCAACGTGGACCGAAGCCCCGACATAATTCCAGTTTCCATGTCATGTTTCCTTTCTTTCCGATGGATTCTCGATTACAAGGGCATCCGTTAGTACTGTGGCAGCGAAGTCACCTGAGGTTGATCAACTACTTGGACTGGTCCTCAACTGTCACGTTGTGGGAGATCAAGAAGAGTGTGAGAAGGTGCAAGCATCGAGGACTCTGCTGCCCCATAGTATAAGACAATATAAAATCACATAGTATGATATAACATGGTATAGCATAGTATAGTATAGGATAGTCTAGCCAAGTATAGTATACTGTGGCGCGGCTACTAATTGTCGTACATGCGGGCTCAGCAGTTTCTTCGACTGCACGAGGAGATATGCACCATGCGACTCTCAACGAAGAGGAGCTGCAGCTCTATGGAGCCTTGGATTTGTCAGTTTTTGAAGAGCTTCTTTTTGACCAGAAGCAGATCTACCTGTGATGTTGCAAGTTGCAGGACAATCACTAGAAGGCACGTTTAATTAATGATATTCGTTCATATTCCTCGCAAGCGTTGTCAAGATTGGAGCCGTGTCAAGGAAAGATGCTTCGCCGAGTGCAACGCATTATTGACCTGGCTCAGGTGCGGGCTCGAACTCAGCTCCAGATGAATTCCCGAGTGCGTTGGTGTGCGTAGAACTCGATCATGTTTAAGCTATTTTCTGCTTTGCACGTTTTAAAAGTTGCTGGCAGGAGCTGGGCGTGTGTGTGATGAGGCTTGACTGTGATCAGGACTCAGGAAGTTGCGGTTGCAGTTGCTTGGAATCCGATAGCTTGGACAAAGCTAAGGATCGATGCTGAACAGACTGCTATTCAGCCAGCGATTGACCAAATCACCATCTCCATGCAGAGGACGCTGATGTTCACCCGAGCCCAGCTGGTAACTTGGGCGTGCCAGCGCAGGATGTACAACACGGGCGATTTGCCTCTTGCCTCTGGCCTGAAAAGCAACATGAAGTCGGGCTTGTGTCAGGCCTTACGGAGTGCGTTGTTTCTGTATGCCGAGGTTTTCGGCACCTACCAGACGTACCTGAAGGCATAGCGGCGTGTGCCTGTAGGAGCTGGGTTGCATGCCCAGCGCGTGGTGTTCCAACATTGCTTGTGCGAAGCTGTCAGGGTATGCCCTTGAGAGTCCAGCGAGACCTGCAGCGATCTAGGCTCTTCTACAGCCTGTATGGCTTGCTGCATTAATTTTTGGACAGCTCAGATGGCTTGTTTTCCTGCAGATCGGATGCGCTGCAGGCGAGAAGGGTGGCACTTTGGAGCAACGCTTGTGCGTGGTGCGCATCTTGTCCAGACCTTGCTTCTCGTACTTGCTCTCTTTGTCTGATAATGCATTGCCTTTGATGGCTGCTCGCACCTTCAGTGACTTGGTTCATGGTTCCCAAGTCACACCGCCCAAGTATGCTGCGAACACAGGTATATGCCTATAGAGCGTGAGAATGCAGAGCGGCGGGGACTGGAATCTCCGATTTGTGATCTTTGCCGGCGTTTCTTCCACTGTGCTTTCATGTGAGTTTTCATGTAAGTTTTACCGGCATAGCGGCCTCAGCCATTGCACGTGTGGGAGCAGCTGTGTCAGCGACTTGTATCAGCTGGTCACACTTAGGAGGGCTACGAGGAGACAGAGGACAATTTCCACAGAGCAATTGATAGTGTTTTGGAGCACATGGTGGAAGCTGGCAAGGCACCTGAATGCCGATTGAAGAAGCATGACCCGTCGCTGTATCTCAGGGCCCGGGTGGTGCTGCCGCTGCAGAGGTGAGTTGCAAAAGCAGGCCGCTGCAGCACACAGTTGGTTCGCTCAAGAGTGTAGGTCATTGTTGCGACTCACAATCGCGGCTCCATTGAGCGGACAATCCGCAAGATGGCAGATCTGGGCGTGAGCCAGGACAAGCTCTGCGCACCCTGAGATACATAGTCAGTACCCACACCCTACAGCAACCCGACAGCAAATGTCTGCAGCATCTGCGGGTCTGTTCATCGGAAAGAGGACCGCGTGGGCTTTGGTCAGCTCATGGGACAAGCAGACCACCTCACCTTCGTGAGTCTCGGCGAAGTTGCGACGGAGCGACCTTCGTGCAAGGCATGCCACGCCTCTAATATAGGGGCCTAAATAATTACGTACACTGTTTTGGGGGTTCCTTATTATGTTGATGTTACAATATACCCCCAGAACCCTATTCTAATTATTTATTAAGGCCCCAAAAGTAGTTTGCTGAAACTATAACAACAATAAGGAAGCCCCAAAACCCTATTCTAATTATTAAGGCGGCTGCATTAAGTAAGCCGAGGCTGGGGAAACATGGCTACAGGTCGGGCTCGAAGCATGAGTAGTGAACCCTGCTGGAGAGCCTCGAGTGGCCTGTTTTGGACAGGGTCTACAAGACAGTTCCATATGGGCCAGTCGATGAGATTGTCCCCTATGTCGTTCGAAGCATGCAGGACTGCACTTTTGCGACGGGGCGCGTAGTTCTGCCAAGGAAACTCACGAGCAGTTTCTGACTTCAGGAGAATCGCACGAGACTTGGATCGCCTTGGGCCATGGCCGTAGAAAGGCTGGGCATCGTCGGGTTTGGGCTTTAGGGTTTGGGGTGGTTTGTTGGATTTTGCTTGCAACTGTGCATCCACTTTGCAAGTGCACTGTTGATTGGGTTCGGGCAGCTGCGCCGGTTCCATTCTGTCAGGCAAATGCTGGGGCAGGAAGTGGCCAGGCGGCTGCGACCGTTTTAGACGGCTGGGTGCAACGTTCTGCTGTCATCTTCGCAGCTGAGTGCCGAATCTCTGGCGGCAAGTCAGTATAGTTTGTCCCTGTCAAGAACGGGTTTACAATCATACAGCATACAGAATTCCGTCACAGTCATCAGCAGCACCAGCTCAAACTTGTCGTCGGGGATGTGCGCAACGCAGGTGTGCAGCTTTGCCCTGAGTGACACCAATCCGAATGCACTGAGCAAGCTCAGCAAGAGGGCCACTCGGTCATCAAGTGGGTGGCTCATACTCGTGGAGTCTTCATGCCTTCACCGCGGACGTTCTGTTCACGGAATATTGAGCAACATGTCATGCATGGGGTGTTTTCGAGTTTTCTTGTGGGTCAAGTTAACTTATCCGGGTGGAATGGTTCGAGTCAGGCCCTCAAATCAAACTCCAACCCCCAAGATTTGCGGAAAGCCTGGTACTGGTAGCCCAGAGCACTAAACCCTAAACCCTAAACCCTAAACCCTAAACCCTAAACCCTAAACCCTAAACCCTGGTACTGGTAGCCCAGAGCACAAGAGGGCGCCTGCTGAGGATCCAAGGAGGCCTGGCCCGAAAGCGTCAACGTTTTGCTTGTTCCACGGAGGCCATGCAGCTGTTCAGTGGCTCCGCACTGGGGCCACTGGGGCCTATGGCTGGTGGCCGTGGAGGTGGTAGCGCAATCAGCGGTTTGTGTAGCAACCTTGTTCAGCATTCACCTGCTGTAATTTGGAATGATCGATTCAGGGCCGGAGTTCTTTTTCCGAAATCTTGGGATCTCGGATCGAAAGGCTTTCAGTGCGTCGTGAACTTGAGACCTTAAGTGTTTCTCAGGTCTTGCTGGACTGCAAGACCGAGATCCGTTCACTGGCGTCGTTGGAGGTCCAATGAAGTATCGGGAGACTTCGAGTATCTAGAAGGTCTAGGGCAGGGCTAGGGCCTGGGGCAATGTCCCTATAACATGCATCTTTGATTGTTTCACCAGCGCAGGATCGCCATTTCCTGTGTTGGGCAAGGAAAAAGATTGGAAAACCAGGCAATGGCCAGTGCTTTCATATCAGGTAAGGCAGGAATCGTAGAGAGGGCTTGCGTGCAACACATTTCCCAGAACTTCCCAAAACTTAAACACGAAGTCCATGTACCTTGGATTCTCGGCGATTTCATTGAAGCATCTTGAAAGAGTAGATCTCCTGAACCCAAGCACACTGAAGCCCCATTCGCTTTACACAGAGTCTCCCGGTCCCAAGTTCTTCTTTCAGCAGTAGCCTCATGAATCAACAAATCATTGTTCGGTGACTTTTTTGGGAGGGTCCCTTGCCGACATGAGCTCCTCTATGAGCTGATGTGACAACCACCTGAGCATGTAGGGCCTGATGCATTGGCTCAGAGTGTACCATCAGCAACGTTGGAAGAGATCGGTTCGGAAGCCCCAGGAAATCCCTGCAAATCAGACAAGCTAAACCGAAATTGAAACCCCGAAGCCGAGAGGCACGCAAAGCCTTTTTACTCCTTCGGGCCTGAAGTTTCAAACCCCCAGAGCCATTAGTATGATTTGGAGGTTATTGGTACTACTGTCAGTTGTATTCTCAGTACTACAAGTAGTAGCCTTATTATTAGTAGTATTCAAGCACCCCCGGTGGATTCCCGGATCGGCTGTGCCCACTTGGGGTGCGACCGCTCGGAGCCTCTCGGGCCATGCACTTTCTCCGATGCCTGGCAGCTGTGCTCCAGAAGAACTTCACGTTGAAGCCCGGCCCTCAAAGCTCAGCCAGGCAGAGTTCCGGAAGGCTGCTGTCAATTGACGCTTCAGCTCCACACAACTCCGCGCGTGTCCAGTACTTCCTTGGCGAAAGAGATGGTGCATTAGTTTGTAGCTGAGAGCAGCTGTCTCGAAACCATGTAACCATGATTCCAAATCGCGCACCGCCTTCAAAAGCGAACCCAACAAGGCTTCTACAGCCCCCAAACGACGCCCAGACTTTCCATAATCGAAATCCTTTTCAAGGGAACTTCGATTCATATTCGGGGTCGGGAGACGGGTGACGGAAATGTGTATACGGTTGTACCATCAAGATCTTCTGTAGGGGTATGTCTGGTCTTTATGAGTTCTAGATAGGACGGTAGGCGAGACTTCGGTTACATGCTGTGGAGACCATCTCCGGGAAGCCTCGCAAGGTTGACTTGTATTGCAGTTTTTTTGGTGTGATCATGGCCAAAGTTCGTTTCATCGTCGTCGATGCTGTCATTCTGATTATGTCTGTGCCTGGTACTTACTACTTCCAGTGCTATTGCTCTTGTGGCTCAGTATTGACATGTTTGTCGTGGTCTTTGCTTCTACTATGCTGATCGTATCGCGATTGATAGTACGACTATTGCCTTCAATTTTGTCGCTGTTGGTCATCAAAATCTTGCTTGTCAATGTTGGTGCATGTTGAAGAGACAGCCATTAGGCAACGCGGCTGCTCGTCGGAACGATGTTTCTGGTGTGTGTTGACACGAGAGGTGACAGATGAAGTCCGCAATCCTGAACTTAACGGTTTAGGTTTGGGGGTTTAAAGATGCATGCTGTCGATCCATGCACGATTCTTACAAAGAGTATGGTGCGTTTGGGGGGTCCGAAAGAGATTATTTTTCGAGAGCTATCCTTTAGGCAACGACAGCTTGCCTCCGAAGAAGCGGACCGCAGAAAAAGCATAGCTGTCAAATCGTGCACTCTGTTGCGGCCCTTGGGCAGAGGTCCAGGCAATGGCTCAGCGCATTGATCGAGCTTTTGCTCCCGGTGGCCCTGATGGGGCTGTTGATCTGGATCCGGAACGAGGCAGGGCTTCGCCACAGGGACAGCAGCTCTGAGAACGCGTCGAGTTGAAGACGCGAGTCCAGTAGTTTGGGGACCTGTGCACCCGGAATAAAAAGACTTAGGAGCCTGGCATCCGCCAAGTTCAGCTTGTTTGCACCACCTCAGCTTTGCATAGCTTGGAAGCTCGATGCCGCCTGCACAGCTGTTTTGTCGACACCCAACAAGGACCAGCAAAAACTACTGACCCTCTTCAACTCCTCAAAGCCTGAATCTTCAGGCACCCACGTCGCTTCCTCGCTTCTCTATCGTGTCCAGGGACGGGGAAGTTTGAGGGTGGGAAAATCGTCGTGGCCTGCTGATCAGTGGGCGGATCAGTGAACTTGGAGAGTTTCAGGGCTACCGGTTAGGTTTTACGTTTAGGTTTTTGGGGACACACCACCCAGGAAGCGTTACGATGCGGTGAAACTCCGTGCTTTCTGTTCAGGTGCAGACGACAGATGTGCCTGCGCAGACATACGTGGATTCACCGGACTCTCGGAGAAATCAGGTTCCTTTGACAAGAGCACCCCTCGGGAGCACCCGATCCATCCGATTGCGATGCCAAGGACAACAATCCGACTTACTTCCCCAGTGAAGCCATGGACATTGCTTCCATTCCAGGACCCGGCACCCCCAAATTGGACTAGCAGCAGAGACTCCAGTGCAGAACTTCCAGATGCATGCGATAATCGCACTCGTTTTGACTGTGGGGGTTTGAGCGGCCGAGAGTACGTAAGCTTTCTCCAAGCAGCACTCGAGCGCCCAGAGTCTTTGATGGCTTCAAGGGTCCTGAGAATGCCCTATAGTTTGGGAACCCAGCAAGGGACCCCAGTTTTGACAACCGCACAGTTCTCGAAGGCATGAAAAAACAGTGTTCTGCATCCAGTGCTGGGGCTGCAGCAACGCTTTCCAGGACTTCCGCCTGCGTTTCGGGCGCAGCTTCAGGCCCTTTGCGGGTGACTGGGCTGCAATTTGAGTCTGGCGGCCCGCTTGCCAGGCTGCCGTCCCTCGTAGTGTCCTTTCTCGTCTGCGGGCCCTAAACCCCACACCCTGAACCCTGAACCTAAAGTTTAGGGTCTTTGGTTGTTTGGTCTCAGGGCTCCTGTTGGGGTTTAAGAGTTCCGGGTTTAGGTTCCCTGCTTGGGCTCTCCATGGCTCTCTGAATGGACCCTTGCTCCCAATGCTTTCAAGAAGAACAGATCGTACCTGAGAGAGGAGCTGACCGGCAGCCCATGGCGTTTTGGGTATAGGGTTTGGGCGTTTGGGGTTTCGGGCTTAGGGTTTAGGGGTTTGTGGGTTAGGGTTTCCTCGGGTGTACAGTTTTATAGTTTAGGGCGGTTATGCTTCAATTTTCAGAAAGTCTGCAAGCCCGGAAGAAGCACTTAGCTGGACCACATATGCAGCAAGTTTAGCCCCCTTAAACCCTGAAGACCGAACCCGCGAAACCTTAATTCCGCTTCAACTCTAAAAAAACCCTAGGCCCTAGACCCAAAAAACCCTGCACCTCTAACGACTAACCTAAATCAGGTCCCCCACCAGCGCGCTGTGTCCAGAGATCTTCTCCCAGAACTGGGGCTTGAAGAAGGAGCACTACACAGGACGTCTGAGCTCCCTAAACCTGGAACTCTAAACCCTAAACCCTGAACCCCAAAGGGCTTAAATCCAAAACCTTCAATCCTAAACCCTGAACCCTTAAAGCCCTAAGCCCTAAACGCTACGGGGCCATTCAGGCTTCCCACCACGCCGCCGTCACTTTTAGGCTCAGTATTATATTGCGGTACCTAGTTTTTTAAGGTACCGAAAAAGGGGCCCCAATTCTGACAACCAACCATAAGCCTCCAAAGTGGAAGATAGCTACAAGCTACTCGACAGGCTCTTTCTGCTAAGGCGCCAGCCAAGTTGTTTTTGGGGCGCGGTTTTCTTCTTCACCACTGCTTTTCAGCACTTTTGCGAAGCCATGGCTCCGACTTTCGGCCTCTCGGCCTTGGAGGTGAAAACCCAGCTCATATTGAGCTTGTGCATTATCAGCACCATGGTTGCAGACATGATGGATCAGCCCTACGCCAGGTCCTTGGTAGAGTGTGATGTCCCAGTGAACACGACGGAAGGTGCTGAGTTCTCCGGCTCGAAGCTGTGTGGGAATCGCTTGCATGTGATTGGT